GAAAGGAATAAGTCATGTGTGTAGGCACAGGGGCATGAGGGGAACGGGGGCAGAGGGTGGTGAGGGGGTGGGCATCAGGGAAAAATAGGACAAAGGGAGCAGGGGCAGTGAGGGAAGGGGGAGGCACCAGGAGGGTGCAGGTGCCAGGGGATTCTGGGGTGAAGCAGAAGGGCAGACACCTGCAGGGGAGGGACTAGCATCAGAGGAGAGAGGCAGGGCAGGTGCGTAGAGGGAGGTGTTAGGAGAGGGGATGTGGAGGGGTAGCTCACTTGCTCAGAGTGGGGCTACTAGAGGAATGGGCACAGGGGAGAGAAGGACTGGTGGAGGGGGGCAGGTCTCAGGAAGGCTGAGGTGAGCGAGAAGGGCAGGAGTCAGGACAGCAGAGGAGGGTGAGGGGTTGGGGGGCAGCAGGCACCAGGGGAGCAGCAGGCACCAGGGGAGCTGATGGAGCAAGGGCAGGAGACATGGCAGCAGAGGGAAAAGGTAGAGGTTTATAAGATATTTATTAATAACTTATTAGTAATTACTGTTCTTATTCTTATTAGGAATTTATGCTATTAAAAAAACCACATTTTGGGGGGGGGAAGGTGGCAAGTCCCTTTTTTGCATGGAGAGTAGGGTTTTCCAGAATTTGTCGAGCCCTGGGTATAAATATGCAGGCCAGAATCAGGCTGAGGAAGCGTTGTTCCAGGTCAGCCATAAAAATGCTCTCTACACTAACATCCCACACATAGATGGAGTACAAGCTGTCAGGAACCGTATCCCTGATGATGCCACAGCACAACTGGTGGCTGAGCTCTGCGACTTTATCCTCACACACAACTATTTCAGATTCGAAGACAATATATACCTCCAGACCAGTGGCACTGCTATAGGCACCCACATGGCCCCACAATATGCCAACATTTTTATGGCTGACCGGGAACAACGCTTCCTCAGCTCTCATCCACTTACGCCCCTTCTCTACCTATGCTACATCAATGACATCTTCAACATCTGGACCCATAGGAAGGAGACTCTGGAAGAATTTCACCACGATTTCAACAGCTTCCACCCCGCCATTAACCTCAGCATGGACCAGTCTACACGGGAGGTCACCACGGTGCAAATAAGTGACGATCACATAAACACCACCCTGTACTGAAAGCCTACCGAGCACTATGCTTACCTGCATGCCTCCAGCTTCCATCCCAGACACACCACACGATCCATTGTTTACAGCCAAGCACTGAGGTACAACCGCATATGCTCCAACCCCTCAGACAGAGACCTACACCTACAAGATCTTCACCAAGCATTCTTTAAATTATGATACCCACACGAGGAAGTGAAGAGACAGATTGACAGAGCCAGACGTGTACCCAGAAGCCTCCTGCTACGGGACAAGCCCAAGAAAGAAACCAACAGAACACCACTGGCCATCACCTACAGTCCCCAGCTAAAACCTCTCCAACGCATCATTAGTGATCTTCAGCCCATCCTGGACAATGACCCCTCGCTCTCACAGGCCTTGGGAGGTAGGCCGGTCCTTGCCCACAGACAACCCGCCAACCTGAAGCATATTCTCACCAGCAACTACACACCGCACCATAATAACTCGAACTCAGGAACCAATCCTTGCAACAAACCTCGGTGCCAACTCTGCCCACATATATACGCTATATACATCGGCCAAACTGGACAGTCCCTACGTAAAAGAATCAATGGACACAAATCAGATATTAGGAATGGCAACATACAAAAACCTGTAGGGGAACACTTCAATCTCCCTGGACACACAATTGCAGATCTAAAGGTAGCCATCCTGCAGCAAAAAAACTTCAGGACCAGACTTCAAAGAGAAACAGCTGAGCTACAGTTCATCTTCAAGTTTGACACAATCAACTCAAGATTAAACAAAGACTGTGAATGGCTAGCTAACTACAAAAGCAGCTTCTCCTCTCTTGGTATTCACACCTCCCGATCAGCTACTAGAAGTGGGCCTCATCCTCTCTGATTGGATCCAACTCGTCATCTCTAGCCTGATTCTGGCCTGCATATTTATACCTGCCTTTGGAAATTTTCACTACATGCATCTGACGAAGCGGGTCTTTGCCCATGAAAGCTTATGCTCCAACACTTTGGTTAGTCTATAAGGTGTCACAGGACTCCTCGCCGCTAATGCATATTACAAAAAAGCACCATTAAAATGGGTGTGAAATGCCACTCCGGCTCCTTACTGTATAGGAGGAAAAATTCCACACATTCCATTACCCATCTCCAGCCACTAGACCCCTAATTAAATAAATATAGTATGGACTGTATTTAAATTCCCTGGCTGTGTCTAGACTGCCAGCTGTCTACACTGGCCACTTGAATTTCCTCCCTGACAGAACTTCCTACTGTCTGAAATCAGTGCTTCTTGCGGAAATACTATGCTGCTCCCATTCGTGCAAAACTCCCTTTTGCGCAAAGCTTTTGCGCAAAAGGGCCAGTGTAGACAGCTCAGATTTGTTTTGCGCAAAAAAGCCCCGATCGCGAAAATGGCAATAAGGCTTTTTTGTGCAAAAGCGCGTCTAGATGCGCAAAATGCCAATCTAGACGCTCTTTTCCTCAAATGCTTTTAACAAAAAACTTTTCCGTTAAAAGCATTTGTGGAAAATCATGCCAGTCTAGACGTAGCCCCTATATTTAAAATTAGAGACACTTTTTTTGCAGTTTGTCCAATGTGCTTAGAATGTCACTTCTCACCAGACCATTCCGCATGGTAGGAATGGAAGTGGCACTCATTATTACTAACCTGGGATTCCTGATAAGTGTAGAAACCTTTTGCGATCTTATTTTCATCAACATCACAAAATGCAGCCACCTGGAGAAAACAGAAAAAGGCTACAAAGGGTTTAATAAAGCTCGATGCAACCCGCATATGTCTCCAACATTTCCCCACTAAACTTGCCCGTCTATATCCTCTCTCAACTTCACCCTGCCCTCACAAGGGTTCTGAGCTTCAGCTCCTTGGGAGTGCAGTGTCTCAATTTTCAAGCTCTCCATGAATCCCCATGCTCCACACGGCAAGGCTGGTCACATGGGCCCTGATCCTGCAAATGCTTATTCCTGTGAGTAAAGCTGAGCACACATGTCAGTGAGTGTAAGACTGAGGCGATGTCCTGGCTCTCTTCCTTGCTTGGAGCTGCTGGATCACATTACAAGAGCTTTCCTGGTACTATTATTGGGGTGGGCGATTGCTGTAGTTTGTGACAGGGATGTTATGCACCTGGCAATGGGAAAGCAAGTGGTCTGTGTGATTGCCGGAGAGGGAAGGTGCCCATGAGATATGCACTCCACTTATCAGGGCTGGGGAACCTTTTTGGGTGGAGGCCACTGACCCACAGAAAAACCAGTCAGGGGGCCAGACACAAGTGAGAAGCAACCCCCTCACCCTCATTGATCTGGCCCCCTAGTGAGAAGGAGGAAAAACCCTTTCACAGATGTGACCCCCAACTGAGAAGCAGGAAGAAAAAGATGCTTCCCTGCGGACTCCATGCTGGTTTAACTAGGCTTCTTATTCCGAACTACCGTTACTCCTCATGGAACCTAATCCGAACTACCTAGTCCATGCTGCGTGTAGCCGTGGGGCACGGAGTCCGCACTAGTGGACATTTAAAAATGGCGGCGTCCGGCAATATGCAAATGAAGCCCAGGAAATTCAAATCCCGGGCTTCATTTGCAACTCCAGTTGCCTACACTACCACCCTAGTTCGAACATCTAATAAACCATCTTGTTAGTCTTTAAAGTACTACATAGTCCTGTATTTTGTTTGACCTTAAAATGCGCTGTGGGGCAGTCACAAGGTTAGTGTAGGAGAGTTGGCTGCTGACAGTAGCGCTGCCTTCAGAGATGGGCAGCTGCAGAGCAGGGGCTGCTGGCTGAGAGCCCAGCTCTGAAGGCAGCCACCAGCAGCAGCACCACAGAAGTGAGGATATAGTGTTGCCACCCTTACTCACTTCTGCACTGCTCCCTGCAGAGCTGAGCCCTCAGTAAGAAGCCACCACTCTTTGGCCGCCCACTTCTGAAGTCAGCAGCGCAGAAGTGAGGCTCGCAATACCACAATTCCCCCCAAATAACCTCGCAAACCCTGGCAACCCCCCCCTGCAACTTCCTTTTGGGTCAGGACCCCCAGTTTGAGAAATGCTGGTCTTCCCCAGGAAATCTGTGTAGTGTAAAAGCACACAAAAGACCAGATTTCACAAGGGGAGACCAGATTTCATGGTCTGTGATGCATTTTTCAGGGCTGTGTATTTAGTTGGGCACTATGCATAATGAGAATAACAATTCTGAACTGTCGATTAACCTACAGATAATAGAAACTACTTGTGGAGTTAAGGTATCCCATGAGATACCCGTATACATTTCTAGACGAATACCTGTGAACATTTCTGTTATTGTACAATATATTCTTAACCAGAGTGCACCAACGTTTGGGAAGGCAGTATTTTTTATTTTCATATATATGCACATACGTATATATATACATATTGTATTAATATTTATTGTTTCATACTATTACACACAAATTCTACATATGTGTTTTGCATATACACATTTATATATTTATAAACAGCCTTAAAAATGCAAACAGATTTTAAACAGAGTTAAGAAGCACTGTCAATTGCCACAGAAATACTTAGGATTCACTTATTGAATGCAATGCAATGAAGCATTATTTCTGGATTCAAACGTGCCAAATATTTCAGAGGTTTACTTACTTGCATTCCTCACAAATATGCCTGTGATTCCAGTTATATGGTGGCCCCAGCTGAACGCATGGATCGCCAAAACATTTTCCAGAGAATTTCACAAATGTGGCCTGGTTTCCTTTAGTTTCCATTGCCCCATTCGTGCTGCCCTATCAGGCCTGTCAGAATGAAGCAGGGCATTTGTAGCTCTTTAGTTAAGGTCTCACAGAAATCAATTATTCTGTGGAGGGATGGGTGGCATTTTTCTACCCTTTTAATTTTTGCATTTAAAATCGATTAACAAGACTTAAGAAATAAAGCCCCAGCTGTCTGATTTATCAGGTTTTTTTTTTAAAGTTACATAATGTTGCAATAAAGGCCGGATCCTTTTCATAGCAGCAGCTACCTCGTTTTCTTTTTATGATTAAGATAATTGTTTCCCTTCACCTGGTGATCCCACGCCCTCTGATGAAAGTAAAAGTATTTTCATTACTCCCACTGAAGGGAGTTACATGAGTCCCACAGATTATGGCTACTCTAGAGAGCTTACAGGGGCACAGCTGCACTGTGGAGTGTAGCTGCTGTAAGCTGACGGGAGAGAGCTCTCTGTAGCTTAATTACTCCCACGAGCCGTGGCAGCTACCGAAGCTCTCCTGCCAACAGTGCTGTCCACGCTGGTGCTTAAACCAGCATAATTATGTCACGCACCAGAGTTGCTAATACCCCTCCACCTCCCGAGTGACAGAATTTGTTGACTTATGCTGTAGTTTAGCTCAGTGGTTTTCCAACTAGGGGTCATGACCCAGTACAGGGTGGTGGAATTAAAGACCCTGGGCCTCGTTAATGCAGGGGGATCAGTTGAGCAGTGGGGGTGCCAAGGCAGCTACCTGCCCATCCTGGCACTGCAGACTGGGCTGTACCCCAGAAGTATCTGACAGCAGGCCCAGCTCCTAGGTGGAGAGCAGAGCGCACAGGGCTCTTCATTCCCATTGGCTGGGAACAACCTGGCTGCGTCTGGGGTGCAGCATGGTCTGTGGTGCCAGAAGAAGCAGGAAGCTGCCTTAACATCCTTCAAGTTAAGCCCATCCTGCCCCAGCCCTGACTCTCTCCCCGAGGCTGGAGCTCCCCCCTACACCCACAGCTCTCGTCCTCGGCCTCACCCCAGAGCCCACATTCTGGTCAAATGAGATTGAACCACGGGTATCAATAATTTTCTTCAACTCAGTTGTGAGAAAAGTTTGAAACCCCCTGGTTTAACCATCAGTCACTGTGCTGCTGCCTACAAAAATTCCCTAGCAGCAAAATTGGGCCTTTCTGAGACTGAGCTTTTTTCTATTGAGTACAAACTGTTGAGTACAAACATTTTTGGGGTGGCAGCCAGGTACTGTCGGCTGGGGCTCTTCTCATGCCCTAACTTTAATCACTTTCGTATCAGCCCTTCTATTCGAAGCCAACCCATGAACAGAGAAAAAAGATAAAGGAAACAGAATGACTAGAAATATAGGGGGAAATAACAAAAGGAGACTCCATGGGGAACACAGCTAATAGAACTGGGAGAACTAAGCAAACACTCCATGGGAGGCAGACACATGACGGTGATAATGGACTGTTAATTAGCTGACAATGGAAAATCAAACTAATGACGATTCAGTCCATGAATAGAAGGATCGCATCACAAACCAATAAGGAGAGTCACTGCTACTCTTAAATAACTAAAAACAAGACTTGAGCTGACCATGCTTTTATAGACACTTTCCCGTATGCCCAAGTCTTTGCCTACCATATTGCCCCCCCCCATGCACCAAGTGCAGTAACTACCTGCTGAAAGAACAAACACCATGTGTTGGCCACACTATAAAAACCAATCCCAAGGACATTTGATATATGAACTTTCCAATAAAGGAAATAAAAGAACGCATGAAAGAATCAAGTAAATATAACATGAGTTTTGTACATAGCAGTAAATGAGAGACACATTTCCGTGGAAGATGGGGTTAATTCAACCCAAGTTAAATTTTCTTATCAGAAAGATGGATGCCTAACACAGCGGTATCTTTATATGTAACTGCCAGTGGTTTTAGGCTGCTTAAACCTGATAACTATAGTACTGTGAAATACATTTGCCTTGAATAGGTAAATCTTCTGTTAGATTACATGCCATGTGGGTGGTCCAAGAGACAGTTGATTATTTTTCTGCCACCACTATTTATTTTTAATTAAAAAAAATGTGTGTCCGGAAACTGGATACAGAACTTACAACCAAGTGTTTATGCAATAAGCAGAACTCAGAGCATCAGGCTTACATGACCTGTTTACTTTAGAATAATAGGCTTAACAAAGAGTCTCTTATTTATTTTCTTCCACCAATTGATTCTAATCGTATGTCTTTTCTGAAGACCATCGGTGTCTGCAGTACTGCATCTTGGGGAGAAATACATGAAATGACTGAAAAATACTCTCAAGCTTCTTTGCCACAACTAGTAGACCATGCAGGATCATAAGTAAATCAGCAATAGAGATGTAGCCGTGTTAGTCCAGCCTAACCTCTAGCTCTCTTTTGAACCCTGTTAAAGTCCTAGCCTTTACAACATTCTCTGGCAAGGAGTTCCACAGGTTGACTGTGTGCTGAGTGAAGAAAAATTTCCTTCTGTTTGTTTTAAACCTGCTGCCTATTAATTTAATTTGGTGACCCCTAGTTCTTATATTGTGGGAATAAGTAAATAACTTTTCCTTATTCACTTTTTCCATTCAAGTCATGATTTTATAGACCTATCATACCCCCCTGCCCTTACTCTCCTCTTTTCTAAGCAGAAAAGTCTAAGTCTTTTTAATCTCTCTTCATATGGGACCCGTTCCAAACCCCTCATCATTTTTGTTTCCCTTCTCTGAACGTTTTCCAATGCCAATATATCTTTTTTGATATGAGGCGACCACATCTGTATGCAGTATTCAAGATGTGGGCGTACCATGGTTTTATACAGAGGCCTTAAGATATTTTCTGTCTTTTCCCCCTATTCCTTTTTTAATGATTCCTAACTAATAGCCGTAACAGGAGGAACAATGGCTCATTTCATACTTGATGTGTCTTCTGATTTCTTTTTCATTACAGGAAATGGTTTTTCACACATCCTC